ACGCGCGCGCAAACACATACACACACACAAACACATACACACACACAAACACACACACACACACACACACACACACACACACACACACACTCATATACACACACAGCGTGGTGAAATCAGGCACTTGTCAAAATTATCAAAGTGAAGAAAGTTGCATTTTTCCGCAGGTTTGTGATTTTTTTAAATTGAATTTTTGTTCTCATCAACGATCTGGGTAAAGAGCAGACCGCGATAGGGAATTACAAAAATGAAATTGTTTTTCAAATTGAAAGATAGGCTACACACAGAGAGCAAGAGCTTGGCCTAAAATAGAACGTAAAAAAAGAATCCCCCTTTTTTTGTAATCCCCTTGGGAAAATTTGGTTTACGAAGGCATAATATACTGAGTTGCCTATATTACGATAATTTTCGGTACAGCGTAAGAATTGCTGTAAAAATTTAAAGTACGACTTGTGTGACTTATGAGACTCCTTGTGCAAGAGCAGACGAAAGAAATCATAAACCGGAAGTAGTACGTGGACAAAGTGTTGGTATTGATTTATCTAGGTCTACGTTGAAGTCATCGCTTCCTACACACAATATTTGCTTTGAATCACGTAGACAATGTGTAAACCCACCTTACACACTATAAAAGTCCGTACTTTCCCACGGTTGGATACTTTTTTCAACTGTTTTTCAAAATGAAAAACTGATGAATTCAGAAAATAAAGTGTGTGTATGATAAATTCTTTAATTGCGCTTTCTGCTGTTGCAAGACAGGTAAATGTGTGTAGAAGAACCATCTAACGTTTGAACCAACGTTTTACCTTTTAACGTCACTAGAGCTGTCCAAGACAAGCCTATGTGAGGCCAACCTAGGGCGACAACTCGGCATCAGAATTGGGTTATTGTCAACACCCATATACGAAACCCGTTCCAACTAAGTGCATAGACTGTCAGGTACTAAGGACTATCTTAATACACCATTATTAGACATTTATAAGATCGTGGATTACGTGATTATCGCCCGTTGCGTGGAGCCATTCTAACTCTGTTTCATCGAACAAATCGCCAAATTTTGGCACAACAACATTGGCGACGAAACTAAAGACGTTGGTGAAGTGTTCTTTTAAGCAATAGTTAAAGTTTTTAATTCGTTGCATTAAAGGAAGAGAAAAAGTGTTTAAAAGAAGAAGATAGAGATTTCCCAAATCCAACGTCCCCCAAGAGGCCCAAATCAGTGGCTGAAATGTGATGGTATGGGGCGGGATCTCTGCTCTTTATCGTACACATTTGGTTACTTTTCAAAGCAACCTCAAAGGACGACGGTATTGCGAAGAAATTCTTCGTCACGGTGACTGCCCTGCATGGCACGGATGATGGAACGTGCTAACAAGACAACGCCCGACCACAAATGGCTACGATCAGTGAAAACTCCTTTCAAACTCATCAAACCGTTGTTCTGGACTGGCCTGCAAGACCAACAAGTCTTAACCCAACAGAACATATTCTGCAAGATTGCCTTGACTGGAGGATTAGAAACAGGCCGCACTCCATATAAACTTGTCAGGAAATGAAGATTGCACTTCACAAGGACTGGCAGTGGATTTTCCAGACAATTATAAGGACATTAATTCAGTCAACGAACAGATGTTTTGTATCAGTAATTTAAGCTGGAAGAGGCCACGCACCAACCTGAGCAAACTTTGATTTGGATTTTGCAAGGGTCAGTGTGAATAAAATTATCTCCCTTGAATAAAGAAAGACATTTGTCAATCCTTTTCGTGTCATGTTTGCAGAAAATGAATAAACATCTCGTGTACCAAATTTCTCTTTACTATGTTGAATAGTAAACGGGTTATTGTACTTTTAAGGTGGGTGTGACAGAACTTTTGCAACTCGGTATATATACTGTACTATACAAACATATATACGATATGAATACATAATTACGGTAGAAGAGTACATAAACACATAGGTATATTGCTATATAACGTACAGAAACATACAGATACAAAGTTACACGGTACCATTGGTACGTCGTTGCTTGTCGCCACTGTGCAGAGCCCTTTTTGTTTGAGCCAGGGTTATTGCCTATTATGTCTTGCTCAAGGACACACCCCAGATGACCTACATCATAATATCACGTCAGGGCCTTTAAAGCCATGTCTTATTCATTCTTTAAAGCCATGTTTTATTCATGTGTTATTTGTCTTTGTGGTTACATGACGCCCTGGGGAGGTTTGACAGGCTTGCTGATGGATGAAGACTCCGAGAAGTGATATTTTTGTTTCTGTTATTCTCATCGGTTATTTTGTGTGCGCCCCCGTTTATGTGTGTAAGAGACTGGGGGAGAGGGTGGGGAGAGAAAGGGGGGGGGTAGAGAGAGAGAGAGAGAGAGAGA